GGGATGGCAAGACAAAGGGCAAGGTATGCAGGATGTAAGAATTGGAAAATTACTTGCTGAGAACATGTATGTTGATGTGCTTGATTGAAACAATGCACAGTGTATTTTGGATGGAAAATTCATTGGTGTGTTGTGATGGTGTATAGTGAATTAATGTAGAAAATAAAAATTAAAATAAATAAATAAATAAATAAAATTTTAAAGTTAAAAAAAAAAAAAAGAAAAAAAAGAAAAGAATTTTGGGCACCCACACACACAACACCAGCGATTTTCAAGCCACTGAGTCCAGGACTCATATGGCAGTTAATAAGTAGGGATCCAGCACCTTAACCACTACGCCACCTGCTGGCCCAAATCATACAATTGTTAGGACATGTACAAGAAAATATTATTTAGTTTCCAAAAGTCCAAAGACCTGGAAAAAAATTAATCACTGTCACATTAAAACAGGTGAAATATTACACTACCTATAGATTATAATTCCTAAATTATACGGTAAAGATAAGGAGTATTCAATATTCAGCAATAACATGGACTGCAGAAAGTATCCCTTCATAAATTAATGATTAAATCTTATTTTTCAGGCTTGTATGGCAGTCCATAAATCACGATATTACTCTAACATTTGAGACTTTGATTCACTATAAAAAAAAAAAAAAAAAAAAAAAGTACTTTATCTTGTAGAAAATTTCCATAGTGTCTTTTGGTCACTAAAAATTTAAATTCAAAGATTGCAGTTAAAGGACAGACTTTAGTGGGACCAGCAGATGGCGTAATGGCTATGTTGCTGGACTCCCACGTAGTCAATCGTGGTTCGAGACCTGGACCCAGTGGCTTAAACTCACTCCAGGCGCATGTGCGTGCCCAAGATCCCGAGAGGAGAACGGAGGAGAAGGGATTGTGGTGTGGTCATCCCCCCAGGGGTGATTTCTCAGTTTCTGTCTCTGTCTTGCTCTTTCTGGCCAGCGCACATACCCTATAGCAAAACAATCTCCAAAAACAAAGGACAGACTTTAGTGAGATAGAAAACCCTCCTGTGAGCACATGGCCACTTACCGTGAGAACATGTGCCGTCTCTTGGGGGCCTGCTGGGTTCTGAGGCCCGCCCATGTGCATCTTGCTAATGTGAGTGTTGAGGCTGCCAAGGCTTTTAAAGACACAGCTGCACTCTGTACAGTTATAGGTGGGCCCATTCTTGACCTAAAGATAAAAAAGCACAAGCAATGTTTTACAGTTAATTACTAGATTAAAGTATTTAATTATGGCAAATCATTTACCATTCTGTTTAATATGGCAGAAATAATTTAACCCCTCCACATCAATTTATTTTTAATTAGAGAGCTCTAGAATCAATGGCCCAACTCTTCAATCAGTATTGCCACTGTGAGATCAAGTGAAATTCTAGTATTTTTTTTTTTAAGAGAGAGAGATTTTTGCTCTAGGTGCATGTGCTCACCAGAGAGACAGACAGAAAGCAAGAAATCACCCCTCGGGGGGATGGCCATGCCACAATCCTTTCTCCTCCATTCACCTCTTGGGATTTGGGGCATACATGTACGAGCTCCCAAGATGCTGTACAAAATGCTGGATCTGAGTCTCGAACCTCATAGTTAGCCATGTGGTTCCAGACACCATGGCCATCAAACCACCAGCTGGCCCTATTTTCACTTTCTTAACTGGTTAAATACAGTGTTGAATAATAAAGGCGGGACAGAAATAAATATTATTCTAAATAAGTTTTCAGAGGCTAAACAGGTTAAGAAGAATAGTCTTACAATATGTAAATTTCTCATCATATACATTTATACTCCATACCCATAACTAATTTCTAAAACTATGATACAGAGACAGGGCAGGGAGAGCAGTAAAATGAGTAAGGCCTAGGGACACAGACACATCTACGACACTCTCACAGAGTACTCGAACCCACGCTGGCTGTTAGCATTATTGCAAAGGCTAAGAAGGCGTGGCCCTCCCAGCCTGAGTAAGACTCGTTCTACCTCTGGTGCCTCGGGAAGAGCCCCGGGAAGGTTTGGCTCTCTTGCAGAATTCAATGGTATTTGCTAACCAGTTTTCAGAGTAGTCTACCCCAGTACAGGTCCCAGTGTCTGTCAGCACCTATAGGTAAGTCCCTGGCTCCCAAAGGGGGTTTCTGAGCTCAGGAGCAGTGACAAGTCTCTCCAGGGCCATTGGAGAGGGACCTGCGTGCCCCTCATGACGTGCTGCTCCCAACCATCACCCTCACAGAATGCCGCCCACAACCTGGAGCAACTCTTTGAGACCTAAAGGAACCCCCGTCACACACAGGGCCTCACTAGCGTTCACATGCCCTTCTGACCATGTCTCTGATGGGTCTGAGACAATATGAGACTTTCATAAAGCTGTGTTTTGCATCTTATCCTGCTTATCTAAGATCAAAGACAACTATTCCTCTCTATAAGTTTGGGTAAAAGCGTACTAACTACAGTTCACTTTTCACACATACAGCCACGTGTCACGTGACGCAAGGACACGCTGAGAGACGTGCAGTCAGGCGTAGCAGTGTGGTGCTCGCATCACAGTGCACATGGACGGGGAGGCCCAGCCGCCGCACACCCGCGGCACCGCCCAGCCTACTCTTCCTGTCCTCCGTGCGGCCCGTGGCAGGGCAGAGCTTCGTGTGCACACATCTCTGTATTTGAGTCTAAGAGCATGACAGTTTCGGGGCCAGCAGGTGGCACGACGATTAAGGCACTGGATTCCCACCTGGCCAACCACAGTACAAGTCCCAGATGCAGTCGTTTGAAAATTACACCAGGTGCATGTGCATGCATGGCACCCAAAATCCTGAGAATGGGAGAGGAGGGACTGCAGTGTGGCCAGCGCCCCCGGAGTGACTTCTCACTTTCCCTCTCTTTGTCTCTGCCTCTCTCCAGCGAGACATATGCACCCTATGGTAAAAACCCAAAAAAGAAAAAAAAAAAGATAGTTTTAATTCTGCAAGATAGTTTCACAGAAATAGACGGACCTATCATAAAAGAATCTGTGCTGTTATAATTATTTCCTTATGTACTACACTTAGACCATAAGTAAAACACCGAATCTTGACAGTTACCATGCTCATATCAGCTTAACAGAAATACTTGCAGAGGGCCTAGCCACACAGACTGGGAGGCTGGGGCAGGGACGGGGACACAGCGACACTTCTCGTCCAAAATGCCTACCTTGGTGTGTGTGTATCTGTGCATCTGCCCCTCCCTATCTTGCTCTCGTAAAGGGTTTTTTCAAAGCAGCAGGAAGTACTCCCGGGGATAGAAAAGGCAGCATGGGAAATGACAAGGGACACGTGCGTGCTGTTTCAGCTGAGTCACACGCGGCACAGAGGTGGGACCCGACGAGCCCAGAACTGTCTGAGGAGCACGTGGGTGTGCCCGCCCTGGAGCCACGCGTGACTGAAGCGAGCTCGCTGTAAGAGAAGCGCTGCCCTTCTCAGCCGCAGTCCCTGCCCTTCACTTTCCTACTTCACGGTGTCTCGTGTTCCAAGTTTGCTACAGGATAGAAGACACTCAGACTCAGCCATCGTAACTAACGAAGGTGTCAGGTTATTTTCAAATGTTCACTCATCAAAGCCCTAATTCTACTGGCAAAAAGACAAAAAGGCACTAGATTTCTCCCACGTGCAATTAGCCAGGGTCCTGGACAGCCCATTCCTGGACCTGCTTCTGTTCACCATGTTGTAAATGGCCAGGCTCCCGGCTGGCTCAGTGACTGGCAGACATGCCGCATCCCGCCGCGCCCCGCACCTCGGAGTGAACCCTCTGCACGTGCGACTGCAGGTTCCCCTTCTGAGAAAAGGCAGCGGGACAAAAGGCACAGGCGTGAGGCTTCTCCCCTGTGTGCTTGACCATGTGTGTCTGCAGTGCCCCCTTCTGGTTGAAAGCTTTTCCACACTCGCTGCACTTAAACGGTCTTTCACCTGCAGAGAGAGGAAAATGATCAAGTGGGGTTCCATGTGCTGCGGGCAAGTTACGGATTAGAAAGGGAAACATCCACATCACCCAAGGCCAGACTCCACCTCAGTTCAGCATGCCGGACTCTCACACACCTGTCACGTGGGTCTCCAGGTGACCCCTGCTGAGCTCCCTCTGGGCATCTCCACCAGACCTTCCAGGGTGGCTAGAGCCCTCAGCCCTCCCACCAGCTCCCTTCAAAATGCACCAGAGCAGCACCCACCCCAGGGTGCCACCCAGCCCAAATCCTGTAGCCGCCTCCTCACCAGACTTAACCCCGCCAGGCTCTTGGGGTGAGCTGCCTGCCCACCACACAGATTAGGGGGCTTCTTAAAGTCAGGAGTCAGCGCAAGTCCCCATCTGCTTGAAGCCCTCCAGGGACCGCATGGCACGCAGAGCACAGGCCGAGTTGTCCAGACTCCAGCAAGGTCAGTGGGGCTTCCCATCTGGTTCCTCAAGGTTTTCCTGCTCCCCTCCAGGCCTGCACGTCTGGGCCTCGGAAGGTCTCTGCCTACAGCAGCTCCCCAGCACCACATGGCTTGTCTCCTGGGTCCTTCACGGCCTTGCTCCAAGTCTCCTTCCCAGCGATGGCAGTCCAGCAGCCTCGTGGATTATAATCCCTAGCCCCCTCCCTGCTCTAGCTGTCTCCAGACGACTAATCGGAACTTGACCTTTTAGGTGTTACCTGTTCTCACCATTCCTGACCAGGACAGAAGTGCAGGCTCTGCCCGCCCCGTACCCCCTGTGCTGCAGTACCTAGATCAGAGCTGCGCACACTCATGCCGACAGGAACTGCCGGACAGAGGATGAGTGAAAGACAAAATCGGGTCAGGGTGAAAGTCGGCGGCAAGGCTAGCCTGAGTCCTTGCCCTGCTGAAGCCCCTTCCTGAGATGAAACGCAGCCGAGTGAGTAACGCTGCCAGTCCCCAGCTTCTCTCCGCAGGGCTCACAGGGGATGAGGTGCAATGACCGGAAAGCAACCCTCCCTACCACTGCAGTGCAGGGTGCAGGGCCCGGGGGCAGCGGTGGGGGTCCTGCTCGGGCCTGGTGTGTAGACACCCTTTCTCTTTCTTAGGTGGCAGGACACCTCAGCCTTTTCCAGAGGGGCCCTGGTGGGCCGTGCAGTGGAGGTGCGGTCTGGCAGGGCCATCACCACCTTCGCTGTGGGACAGCCATCGCAGGCCTGGCCCAGCACAAGCCAACAGCAGGCTTGGGAACAGCCTTGGAGGGAGGGCACAGCATGCACGGGCGACCCGCCAGCCCCAGAGCCCACCCCGCCAGCCCAATCACGCTAGCTATGTGTGGCCCTGGGCAGCGGACGGCTGTTCCCAGCACCACTGCCAGCTCAGGGCCAGCCAAGACGGCAACGAGGACCGCTGAAAGGGCCACCCACAGCTTCGCTCACGCGGAGGTCGTGTCAGCTCACGCCTCCCACCTCTGGAGTGAGGGTAGGCTGACGGCCTGCGTGCTGGCGTGTGCCTGGGAAATGACGCGAAGCGCCGAATGCCACACCGCTGGAGGCAGGTGGTACCTGAGCAGGGTGCGGGACCAGGCCCTCTGCCTCTCGCTTTACGTGCTCCAGTAAGGGTAAAGGAAGTGCCGTGTTTTAAACTGTATTGTCGTTGATTCAAACTTCAGGGAAAAAATGGACTAGAGCTTCATGCTGTATCATATTCGTAAAGAGGCTTTCTCTCACCCTGTGCTAATGAGGACCGGCTGCCTGAACCCCATGTCGCACTGCCACGGAGGCGGACTTCGAGACCGTCTCAGTGGCTCTGCGACACCTCCGTGCAGACAGTTCACTGAAACACTGGAAAGGGGGGAGCGGCACGACGCAGCTGGAGCCGGTGGCCAACGACAACGAACAGCTGTGCACATTCGTGCTTTGTCACTAAAGGGGACATACTGGAAGCGCAGACGGAGACACGGGCACAGCGAGCTCACTCCCACTGGGACGCCTCCTCTGCCCTGCCCGGGGAAGGTCTGCTTTTGTGCAACGGCCAGTGCTGCACATCCAGGCATCCAGGCAAAACCAACAGGGAATAAGATCAGGCGTGGAAAACGAAGTTGTTATTGCCTTAGTGTTTCACAGCCCCGTTAACGAAGCAGACAGGACAGAATGAGAAGGCCCAGTGCTCGCCGCTCGGACTTGACCCGCCCAGGGTAACAGCGCACCCATAATCCACTCGGCGTTTATGAGCTCAGTGAGCGGATAAATACATGGAGTACGGTGATGGCAGCACTGGCTCCCGACTACGGACAGCCACCACACAGCAGCACTCTTCTCTGGACACTATCCGTGTTTTCCATCTATCATTTTGTTAAGAGGGTTTTGCTATCGGGCGCGTGCGCTCGCCAGAAAGACAGAGAGACAGAGACAGAAAGCGAGAAATCACCCCCCAGGGGAGATGGCCACGCTACAACCCCTTCTCCTCCATTCTCCTCTCGGGATCTTGGGCACGCACGCACACGCGCCCAGCGTGAGTTTAAGCCACCGGGTCCGGGACTCAAACTGTGGTCGACTACATGGGAGTCCAGCGACATAGCCATTATGCCAACTGCTGGTCCCTTCCATTTATAATCTATGGCAACTACTGACAGATGCAGAAACCCGCGTTTTCAAGTGAGGAAATGAAACCACGGAGAGATTAGGTGACTTCACCAAGATCGCACAGCAAGCTACAGAGGAGCCAGGACCAGAATCCAGGTCGAGCTAACGCCACGCACATTTTCCTTTCTTCAAGCCACATTAGCAAAAAAGCGAATGCCCTCCGTACCTGTGTGTATCCTAATATGCCGCGTTAACTGACTTGGCTTTTGAAATGTCTTTCCGCAGTGTGGACACGAGTATGTGAATCCACTTCTGTCAATGTTCCGGTTGTAAGACCTCGTACTGGACACCCTGGAGTACAGCACGGGAAACAGCGGTAAGTCTTCACCCTTGTGTCACACCTTCACAACAGAAGTCCTACAGAACGGCTGGCTGACTGGTCATGACAACCTGCTTTAATGATCGATCAATTATATTCGGGTACACACATGTATTCATTCTGTGTGTTCAGTACCATACCATTTGTTTTTCCATTTCTGATCGAAAAAGAACTTGGTCAAAACCCTGCAATGGGGGGAGGGGCACAGCATGCACAGGCGACCTGCCAGCCAGAGACCATCCTGCGGGCCCAATGACACTGGCTACGCATGGCCCTGGGTAGCAGATGGCTGCACAAAGTCTCTCTGGGACAAAGCCCTTCCTGTGATGGCTGCTCCTGTGGTGGCTGAGGGGGCACAGGCCCAGGCATGACTCTTACGGAGGTGTTCCCCATGCTACTCCTCCAGCCTCCCTTTCTCTAGAACCCTGGGGCTCCTGACAGCCAACACAGAGGCCACCCCTCAGGACTTGCCTCTCCACTCCCATCACCTCATGAGTGTGGTCAGCGCTCAAACCCGCCACGCCTGACGGGCCCTCCCTGCTGTCACACGGCTAACCCGCATTGCTGTCCTGCTAGATGGCAGCCCCTCAGGGGTTGGCCTCGTTCTCTACTTCGTCCCCTAGTCCAGGAAGCCTGGGATCCAGGCCTGTGTGTGCGCCTAATGACCACCTACACATCTGCAACCATCCGTCTGAACCTTCAAAGAAACACCGAGGACACCAGTGTCAAAACTGCATGAAATGAAAATCGTGTGTACAGCAAACATGAGTAACATTCTGGGCCTTTAAGAAAATTATGGGCACAAAGTATTAGGTGGCTCCCCCAATGGTCGACGATAAGCTAAATGAATGGGAGGGCTGGAGCTGCCCCACAAGTTCTTTTTTTCTTAATTTCACTTGGTTGATTGATTGACTTCAATTTGACCAGAGAGGGACAGAGTGAGAGAGAGAGAAAGAGGGAAAGCGAAAGCAAGCCACCAGGTCCAGGAGTCAAACCACAGTCAGCCATGTGGGAGTCCAGTGCCCTTAACCATGATGCCACTGCTGGCCCTGAGCCGCCAGCCATTTCTAAGCTTCTTAGGTAACTGCGTGGGGCTTCTGGTTACAAAGTACACGGTGCCTGGACACTGCGTTAGGCGGATGGCAAGCCACGCTGATATGCTGATACATGAGGCTAAAGCAGTCACTGGCCGCGCCTTTACAGTGTCCTAGAGAAACGGGCCCAGGAATGTGCGACTGTCACCATTACCTACCCGAAGCACAGGCCAGGGAAACACTCCACTGCATTTTATAGAAAAGCAGAAAGGTGATGGATCTCTAAGGATCTATAATCAGGAGTAGGTACAAGATGATTTAGAAGTGCATGTTAACTGTGCCTACAAAGAGATGCATTTATACATGCAAATACTTCCGTTAGGGTCCGAGCTCTAAAGCCGGACCATTAGGGTTTAAATCTCTGATTACTGACCTCCACGCTGTCGAACCACACAGCACAACTGGGTGTCTCCAACCGAGGTTCTCTCGCCGGAGTATGTGGGCAGGAGCCCGGCCTGCTGGGGCTGCATCAGGCTCTCAACAGTTAGGGACCACAGATAAACTGCTTCGTTGGCAACAGAACTAACTGGGCCCGCAGGCGGCAAAGAGGTTACGGTGCTGGGTCCCACATGGCCGACTGCAGTTTCAGTCCCGGACCTGGAGGCTTCAAAATCATGCCAGGCATGTGTGCGTGTGTGTGCATGCTCAAAGTCCCGAGAAGAGTGGAGAAGGGACTGCAGCGTGGCCAGTCCCACTTATGATCTCTCACTCCCCCACCCCTGTCTCTGGCAAGAGGATGCGCCCTATAACAAACAAAAAAGAGGTGCTAATTATCCCCGTGAAAACACATTGTGTCTGTTACTTCCCATACAAAGGCACCAGCAGTGTCTTGGTCTGATTTTAGCACGATAGCACCAGCCAAAAGCTCCTCCACAGCCTGACGCGAGGCATGAGCCTCACACCCACCTTCCCTACCGCAGACATGACCTGAGCTGTTCAAACAGACTTTCTGACATCAAATAGCTTTGGTTCCACTGTCTGTCTGTGTCCTTGTTTCTAAAGCACCATTCATTTTTTTAAAATAACTATTCATTTTATTTATTTATTTTTCATTTGACCAGAGAGAGAGAGAAAGGAAAAGTGAGCAAGCAAGCTGCCAGGTCCAGGAGTCAACTACGTTTGGCCATGTAGGAGTCCAGCACTTCAACCACCTGCCAGCCCCAGCAACAAATATTTTTAATTGAGTACAGCGAAGAGGCCAACTTTTAGTGTATGAAACAGGTTTCCCTCACCGAGTCAAGGACGAGACATACCTAATTTTATAGTGCGTCTTCGTGTGCTCCTTCAGCTCCGCAGAGGTCTCAAACTCCTTCCGGCAGGCCTTACACGTGTGGGTGCGGGGACCCGCCAGCTCCTGACGGTGCTCCTCCATGTGGATGGCCAGCTGGCTCTGCAGAGTAAACTCATCCCCACACTCCGAGCAGATGAGGTTCTGGGGAGCAAACGCAGCAGTGAGCAGAGCCGGCATCTCCAAACCACTGGCCCCAGAAGGACTGGCCTGGACATGGTCGACAAGCAGCCCACGTTCCTGACCACATGTCCTTTCCACCTCTCAAGAAGGGTTTCGTTACATCAAAATTTAATTATATAAAAGCCATGTCCTTATTGGAGGAAACGAACACTGGGAAGAGACGAGAGAGCCGTACAATTGAGCAAAGTGGACTGTCTCGAGTTGGCTGGTGGTGGCTGGCACTCGATCCATCTGCTCTGTGAGACAGAGAAGCAGGATTCCAACACGACAGCGTCAGACAAGAATCCGAACCCAACAATAGTTTAACAGGCGACCTTGCGGTGAGACGGCTTTGGTAAAGCATTAACGGAGAGACTGCGTCTTTCCTTCTGTGCTTTGCAGAGACCGCGGGCTGCAAAAAGTGGCCCTGGGGCAGGTGAAGGCAGGCAGAATGACCACGACGGGAGCACGGGAAGCACACACGGGACCTTAAGGCCCAGTACGAAGATGAGCTCGCACACGGGCTGTTTTTTCTGTGCGTTGAGTGGAGGGGCTCAGAGCAAGGGGAGGGACAAGGCTGCTCAGTGCAAGCTTCAGATAGGTCATGCATCAGAGCGCCACAGTACGGTCACTTAGGTGACCCTCCCTCCCAAACAGGGAGATGATAAACATAATCTACCAATAATCAAATACATAACTGTCTATCAGACGTTCTAATTACTGGGCATACTCGTCTTGCAAACATCATTAAAATGAGGTTGCTAACTGGTACTACTTAGGGCAAAAACAGATGAAGAGAAGTGGAATATTTTAAGTAATCCAGTAATGATTTCGACGTAACTCTGAGTAGCACGCACAAGTTAAGGAAGGTGTGAACGTGCGTGTGCGCGAGAGGGCGCTTGTGTCCAGCTCCTACTTCTCCAAACATCCTGTGCCATCACCACTTGAGGGAAGCTGAACTTAAAGTGAGCCTCAGTAGTTGGGAAAAACTCACGGAGTGACTTAAGGCGGCAGGAATTCTTCCAGTTTGTGCCTCCGGTTTGAGATTTATCTTGAGAGTAATTAGTAACCAGTACAGATGACGGACTATTCACCGAGGTACGGCAGTAAGGAAAGATTAGTTTACAGTGTTGGAAAAGTAAAACCTCAGAAGTGGAGCATCTTAAACACCACAGCTGACTGAGGTTCATAAGTAATACATAAGATGTAGTTACACGAGGTTCCGGAGTTTAAGCCGGTTTCTCCGAGGTATACTTTCCACAGACACACGCAACCTATTTCAAGTGGAACTTTTACCCTCCAACCCACCGTGAGATGGTTCCAGGGCTCACGGGTCCTATTGCCAAGGTCCCAGTACTGCACCCCCAGCACCCAGAACGCCTGCTTTCTATCTTCTCATCTCCTCGACAGAAGGGCCGAGCACCCCCGAGCAGGTCTTCAGGCGCGATCAGTCCCACCCTCACCCAGCCCAGATAATGGCACAAGCCCCAGGTGTGCAGGGAGACCTCGGCCATGAGCCCAGGGCCTTGCCCACGTAGTCACCGCACCTGCCACACCACGGCCTGGCCCCCGCCCACGTCTCCGTCTCTCATGGGAGCAGCAGCAGCCGGCTTCAGAGTCTCTGCTTTCTTTCCCTTTTCCTAGCAGGCATGTGTACTTGTATGCTAAACAGGAAAGGAGAGGAGAAAGCACCGCCCAGGGGTGCCATCCCTTCCCCTCCATCTCTCCTCCTTTTCAGGCTTTGGGCACACAAAGCCACTGGGTCCAGGACTTGAACTGTGCTATCAGCCACATGGGATCCCGCTGCCTGAACCAGGCCAAGAAGACAGCCTATGGCTGCGCTCTCTACCCAGCCACTTCCCGAGGCTCTTCCTGAGGCTCTCCTGGGCATCCTGGGACTAAACAGTGAAAGTCTAAGAAGTCATCATTTCAACAACTGTCTGTCCTTCTTAGGGACCACAGCTCTGCAGGCTGCTGTGGGTCAGTGCTGGAGTGCGAGCCAAGTCAGGCAGCCTGGAGGGGGCCTGCAGGGACTGGCCTGGCTCTAGCCGGGCCTTCGCCTGACCGCATGAACCCCCGCATGACAAGGGTTCTCTGCCGTGATCTCACTGCCGATCCGAGCCACTCTTCCACGGTGACGCAGAGCCGCCACACTGAACGCCCTCCACGGTGACGCGGAGCCGCCACACTGAACGCCCTCCACGGTGACGCGGAGCCGCCACACTGAACGCCCTCCACGATGACGCGGAGCCGCCACACTGAACGCCCTGCATGGTGACACGGAGCCACCACACCACTCTCTTCGCGCCTGGAAGCCTACGCCTCCTCATCTCCGTTTCATTGCGTCTGGAGAACTCCTTTTGGTGGTTCTGAAAGGGTCCACTTGCAGCCCGTGACTGCAGACTGCTGGTGAGAGGAGGGTAAGGAACGGAGCCCGAGCTAACGCACTGTAACAACAGAAAACAAGAGGAGCCAGCCCCATCTCCAGCCTCTGGGCCCGAGCAGCACAGCAGAGCCTCGTGGGAGACCCCGAGCTACCTGCTCTGTCCGGCAAGGTCACAAGGCCGGGTGACAACATGGGGCAGCCAGTAGGCAGCACCAGCCCGGGGGTCACAAGACTGTGGCAGCCCTTCCTCCTACCAGACGGGTGGGTAGGTCGTTGGGCAGCAGCCCACTGGGAGCAGAAGAGGAGGAGCTGGCCCGGAGGAGACAGGAAGCCACCCGACTCAGGCCGCACCCCTGCCTCAGGGCCTTCCAGAAGACACAGGGATGGAGGTCCAGCAGGTGGCATGGTGGCTAAGGTGTTGGACTTCCACATGGCTGACCATGGTTGGAGTCCTGAACCTAGGAGCGTGGAGATCACGCCAGGCACACGTGTGTGATCCCAGAAGGAGCGACTGCAGTGTGGCCATTCCCCATGGGGGTGATTTCTTACCTTCTCTGTCTCTCTCTGGCACGTGCACATGCCCTATGGCAAACTCCAGGAAGAGAGAAAAGGGGCACTACGAATGCTGGGGCACTCAAAACCACAACCGAGTGGCACATCCAGGGGGACAGGCTACACGGGCGGCAGCCCCACTGCCTGCCCCACCGCTAGGGGGCTCCTCCAGCAGCACGTGAGGGCCTCCGGAGGGCTCAGCACCGCAGGGCAGCACAGCCACGACACAGGCCGAGTCAGTGTGACCGCCAGGCCTGAGCGCCCACGGGGGAGAGCCATCGCAAAAGCATCTGGCAAAGCTTGTGGTACAGACACCATAAGGAAGGGAAGATTCTGGAAATAACATACCAAAGTTCAGCACCCTGGAGGCCACATGGGACTGCGATTTCTCTGCCCAACATGCAGGAAGCCGTGGAAGTTCCAAAGGCACACATGAAGGGCCATGTGCACAGACACAGCGGGACCCCGGCCCAGCGCACTCGCGCCGTTGCCCTGCCGTCACCCTGCGCTCCAGGAGTGTGCATGCACTTCCTCAGCCGACACTGCCATCCCCTCCCAGAGGGTTGCAGCGCAGACACACCAAGTCCCCTTCTAGGCCAGGCCACTGGGTCACTGTTCAAACATTCTCACTAGCACTGTGCTCCCTGGCTCCAGGCTCTTCCATGCCACACTTCTGTGACAAACCCCAACATGGAGGCCGACATCTCCACTTGCGCACCAGACGGGCAGCGGAGAGCGAGCCCCACGCCCACAGACAGCCTCACGGCAGTTCTCAGCACTCAACACCCCGGCGCTCGACCCCGGCCCACTCCCACTCGCCCGAGCAGGCTGCCCATGTTTTCCGTACGGAGAGCGCACATTTCCAGCTCGAGAGTAAAACGAGGATAGAGGGCCTCAGTCCCAGGCTGTGACCCGGGGCACCGTGTGTCAAGCTCCCAAGGAGCCAAGGGACAGCAACTGCTTCCCAGGGAATCAGGAGACCTGCCCCCTGCACAACACCGACAGAAACCAGCCCATTCTGCCACATACACCTCTGTGCAGCTGAGACTCCACAGCCGCCATGCTTCACAAGCTAAGGCCAAGTGAAAACCAGGTGCAACAGGACTTCCAAAGTCAGCGTGCAAACCGCGTGCAGAAGGGAGCAACGGCGAGAGCTTTGCAAGCGCTCTACTGCTATTAGAGCACTGGATGGCTTCCATCTAAGGACCTCATGAACAAAAGCCTGGTGTTTGCCTGGACGACCTTAATGACTTACTGAGACACTATGGAAGCGTGGACTGACAAGGCAGGACAGCTGCTGCAACAGAGGGCTCTGCTCCACCTCCCCACAGCTGCACCCACTCCTATGACCTCGCCACCCCTTCTTCATGCACCTGCACCCACTCCTAACCATGCCCACCCTTTCCTACACCCGCTCCTCTGACCACGCCCACTCCACCTCCCCACACCTGCACCTGCTCCTCTGACCTCGCCACCCCTTCTTCCTGCACCTGCACCCGCTCCTCTGACCATGCCCACCCCTTCCTGCACCTGTACCCACTCCTCCGACCTCACCCACCCCTTCTTCCTGCACCTACACCTGCTCCTCTGACCTCGCCACCCCTTCTTCCTGCACCTGCACCCACTGCTCTGACCAAGCCCACCCCACCTCCCCACAACTGCACCTGCTCCTCTGACCTCGCCCACCCCTTCCTACACCTGCACCTGCTCCTCTGACCTTGCCCACCCCTTCTTCCTGCACCTGCACCCGCTCCTCTGACCATGCCCACCCCACCTCCCCATACCTGCCCCCACTCCTCTGACCATGCCCACCCCTTCTTCCTGCACCTGCATCCGCTCCTCTGACCATGCCCACCCCTTATTCCTGCACCTGCGCCTGTTAGTGAGAACTAAGAGGACATCCAGACATAGCCAAATTTATTGAAGCTTATTGACTAAGCCAGCGGCATTATAGGGAGACTCATGTCTCTCAAAACCCTGCAGCCCCGAATGCAAGGTGAGGGGTGCTTATAGAGGCAAAAATCACACTTTTCTGGGTTGATGT